GAGCTGGAAGCTGAGAACTGGCGACTTTGTAGTACAACTTTAGTACGCGGAGCAATCTGTGCAGCTAGAAGCTGAGAACTGGCGACTGTGTAGTACAACTGCAGTACGCGGAGCATCTGGGGAGCTGGAAGATGAGAACTGACTGGCGACTTTCTAGTACAACTTTAGCACGCGGAACAACCTGTGGAGCTGGAAGCTGAGAACTGGCCACTTTGTAGTACAAGTGTAGTACGCGGAGGAGTCATCTCTCGCTGCTGAGTCAGCTCTCGCTGCTGTGAGTCATCTCTCGCTGCTCATTTATCTCTCGCTGCTGAGTCAGCTCTCGCTATAGTCATCTCTCGCGGCTGCGTCATCTCTCGCTGCTGAGTCATCTCTCGCGGCGTGCAGGTTTGGCACAGTTCATACTGATAGTATTTGGTTGCATTTATGCAGGACAGGACATTCAACTGCTGGTCAATACACCACTCGTCATAGACCCCTCTTGTCGTGGCAAAGATACAACCCAGTACGCTGTTGTGAGCTGCTGATCCTGCAGGGGGCACACACCTTACACACGTGGAATCCTGTGGGTCAAAAGTCCGGAGCGCGTGCGTTTGACTGGAGGACGCGCATGTTGGAGAGAACGTGGACACTCCTATAGGTCAATTTATTCTTATAGGAAACTTCCGCCGCCGGCAACTGCTTGTATGCCCTACTAGTAGTAACAAGCTACTATATAGTAGTAAGGCACCTTGCTACTAGTTACTTCTTGTTGCTAGTGGAAATGCACTTAGCTACTAGTAGCTTCTTGCTAGTAGTAGCGATGCACGGCGATGCACCTTGTTACTAGTAGCGATGTCCATGGGTTCATGAAAAGGCTGCTTTGAAGAAGAAAGGTTGAACAGACCGATCCTGGTCCGCTGCTTTGTTGCTTGTGGTGCTTTGTTGCGAGAATCTTGACCATTGACCGAAATGCTAATTAGGTATTCATTATTTTACATCTACACGCATGTGCTATATTTATCGTACTGTATCCACTGCATTGTATCGCATTGTGGTGTTTTGTTTTGTATAAAGTTGTATTGAAGTGGACTCGACTCTACTATATCAGATTACAAAAATTGTTCGACCCCTTGAATTTAATACTAGTGTACTGTATCATGTTCGATTGAGTTGAAACTTGGCTTCAATGAACTCAAGTCTCCAGTGCCAAATCAGCATCACAGTCTACGAGTCCACAACCGTCTTGTGGCTCCTCCCCCACTCATTTCACCTTTGGAAGACCGGTCATCCAGGTGGATCCCTTCAAGGTTTTTTTAGGGGATCCCCCCACTGCAGCGGTGCAGAGCAAAAAGATACAAGCTCCGGTGTGGATTCACAGAGCCTCTTCTCTTGAGAGGGTTTCCCTGCACCACATTTGGAGGACTCCAAATCCTGTTCGATGGGCGACTCCTTTTTGCCCTCTAGTTTCCAAGACTCCATCTGAGACTGCAAAGGGGAACTTCCAGGTTGCCAGCAATAGCATGAGAAGCCGAACAGGATGAAGACGCAGAATCTTGAACATATTCCTGTAAGCTGTGCTGATGCTTTCCTCAGCAGGGAAGCCCCACGACTTACCACAACGCGCCAGATCTGACAATCCTCGAAACTGTCGGTGGTCTCGAGATGTGGTATGGCACATGAAGGGATGAAGAGATATGAAGACATCTGAATAGGATGCACATGGAATAATTGCCTGATCAGTTTGCTCCAACATCAACTAGTGACCAAGTAAGGCTCCGGTTCATCTTCTGGAGGAATCGCACCTTCAGATTTGAGCAGTCCGACGAGCAGGGTCGCAACCTCAGGGGAGTTCGTAAAACCTCTGACGGCGCCGTCCACATCCCGCTTTGGCTTCGCACTGCAAGATGCCGATCGGAAAACGAGGTCGGACTGAAAGCAAAGGATCTAAGTTCCAAGATTGCACTGTTTGGACCGCTACACCTTACAGGAAGCTACACCTCAAGTTGCAAAGGTTTCAAGGCACATGGAGGGTTCAAATATTGGGTTTTGGCTCTCGGGTGCATGGCCGCTGTGAGCCGCCCGGCTTTCCAAACGCTAACGCCCAGGCGCCGTAGCAGCGAATCATTTGCACTTGGACCAAATCCCAGGATTGAACAGACTCTCCCAGGGCCTTAAGCCTATGAGCCAACACAAATAAGATGAACGCATGCATCCTCCGTGGGTCCTTGCTGCTCTTGCTATGAAAACTGGAACCGTCATTAAGCCAACTCCAATCAATGCCCAGCCCATCTTGGTCTTGACTGTGTCTCAAGCACAGTCTAAACTCCGAGCCGCAATGAAGATCATCCCCCAGATCAACAAAAACTCCTGACACTGTCAAGAACAACAATTACATCAGTGCTTCTGCCCGGAAGAGACAAACGTGGGAGGCCAGAAAAAGATATATACTTTTACTTTACTTTTGAGCTTTCAAGGACAAGACAAAGAAGCAGTGACGCAGCAACTATATATATATATAAAGTATATATATTGATATGTTTGTTGACAGGATGCTCCAGTCTATGTCTCAAAGCACGCACCGGGTTTGCTGCATGCGCCAATGATACTATCATAGACTATCATATGACCCACGCGTCTCAGCAAGAAGGCTGCTCAGCTGAGCGTCCGAAAGTGTCATGAGCTGGAAGTGCTCCAGAGCCATAAATCCGGTAAAACCAATGGCCTGAAGGTGCGGGGTCCGCCAGCGAAAAAGCGAATGGAGTCGCGGTGTGCACCTCACATGGGTGGAGTGGTCCGGTGTTCCCTAGCTTCTAGTTACTAGAAAGCTTATTGTTATATACTAGTAGCGACGGCCTCCAACCTAGTAGCTTCTAAAATGGCCTCCCTGTTGGTTCCCAGTTGGGTCCAGTCACAGTGGGTCGGTGCCGAAGGGTTCGCCTTCCTCTGCTCCTCGTCCGTGACAAACGCAAGGTGCAGGTTCGTTGTGTTGGATATCTTTGCAACGTCTTTCATGGAAACACACAAATTCCACATATTCTTGTGCTCGATACAGGTGCTTTTGCTTCGCCTAAAAGAAGCCTGCCCTGCTGGTCAAGTCACATAGCCCAAGGTTTGACCGATGGCGTTGCTCGTGGCCTTGCTGTCTCAGTGACAGTGGCGCGCACTTGCGCAAATCCGTTGAGGGTCCTATATGGGGGAAGTGTCAAAGTGATTCAAAGTCATTCGCATAGTCTGCAGCATAGCCCACATTCTCCTTCCGGAGAATAGCTATGGCCCATCCGTCTACCGCAATGTCCTCATATGCAAGTGTTCTGGTTTATCGAATTCCGGATGCTGGAGCTGCGGAAAGGGAATGGAATAGGAGTGGCGAGAGTCTAGAAGAAAAAAGTCAAATTTTGCAAAGATAACCAAGAACATAACGTTTTACTATATTTAGCGCAGTATCACTGTGCAGTGGAAATCCAATATCTCACAAACAAAGTTGCTGCCCCCTGCAGTCAGCACTTTGAGCTAAAACACTAAGGAAACTCAGGAGAGTGGAACAAGCAACTCTCTGATCAAGCAACACCCATTGAAGAATGTTGAGCCAACTGCTCCACACGGTTCTCATAGATTCCGGTCAAACCCACACAACAACGCCTATATAAAGTAAGATGTACATGATTGCACATGGCAGTCTGAAGCCACCCTGCTCCTGCGTGGCACACAGAAGATAGAGCAAGAAGAATAGGCAAGTAAGGGTTGTGATGTGAGGCTCTTCCACCTGCGCATGAGATGTTTCACTCAAATGAGGAAGCTGTAGACGCATTGAAAGGCTGTTGATTCACTGATGTTGCTAGTAAAGATAGTAAAGTCTCCGCAAACTGATGAGTGGTAGGATTAGGATCCCTCTCAGAATGGCACATAAAGCAAGGAATCCAACCGTTGCGACAGCACCATCATCACCTAGGCAAACAGACCGCTGGTCACAAGGGACGTAGTTAAGCAATGTCTAGCTCGTGTTGCTTTCAGAATGTTTCAGTTGGTGTCATGCGTGTGCTCCTGTCAATGCAGCCATGCATACTTCGAGTAGGAAAATGTGTACAGTATATCATATCATCCATCCAGGGTCGCAATGGATTACAGCTTTCAGTAGGCTGGCTGTACCAATTGAGGGAATTTTGCTTTTTTTTCCGCATTCGATGATGTTGAAAATATCGACAAACTCTTCAGCTCGCTCCCAAAATATCCCCAGTGCCCATCCCGAAAGATGTGAGGAAAACGGAACAAACACGAAGGCGGTGCTGAGGCTGTGTGTCTGGGATTTCCAACCACTCCAATGGCAAACTGAGTGGGGATGAGCCAAGTCTTCCTGACCACGATCAGGAAAGCAAATGAAAGCAGAATGGTTGAGAGCATTGGCTTGGTGTTGGGTGGTTCGGGCAGTACAGCACTGATTCTCGCTTCTTGTGCAACGATGTTTATGGCTTTATGGATAAATTCATTGACCGGCATTGCAATCACTAAGTGCAGCAAGAATTACCACCACTTGCACAGCGAAAATGAGATCCCTTCAGAAGCAACACACAATCATGCGACTCCTATGACACCTGCGATCAACCCTTGACTGCTGGACTTTCTGCTTGACTGTGATCAAACCCTGGTGACCACCGCACATTCCTCGACTGTTGCAGTACATCTCGCTTTGAGTTGCGTTCCAAGATGGGATGTTTAATGCCTGCAAACGTACCTGTAGCCTCTTGATGCTTGGCACCGCCGTCCATCAGAATATCTTCCAACACGCTTCCGGATTCAAGTCAATCGCACCCTGTCCTGCGGCCAATGCGGTTGAAGTAAGCGGCATCCACCACAGGCGCCCAAAGGATTTTCAAGCCTTCAAGAGCAACACGAGCAGCCGAAGCACGTGTTGCAGGAAAACAAAAGAAAAGTCACATGCCACGGTCTCACTGGAATTCGACGAATTGGCAGAAACAATATATAACGAGTTCGATATTCTTAGGAACATCAAGCATTCCATCAGACCCAAATGGGTGAAGGAGCTTTCGGCACCAAAGTGAGACGCCTTTGGCATGCCAAAACCAAATGACACAGGCAAACATAGGTAGATCATGATGTATTTGGATTAGCAAAGAGTGTGCAGTCTTTGATTGGACAATTTAAAGCGTAATTGCACCTTGGAAAAGAAAAAGAAAGATGCGCTTCGTGCCAGAAACCCACATAAAGAAGAAATGCTTCAGGATGACAGCCAACCTTCAGACTATGATGACGGTATATTATGATAAATGATAACGGTATGATACGATAAAGAATTGACATGTAGCTATTGACATGTAAGACGACGCACGACTGCGGACGGTTTTTTAACTGCATCATCCAGTCCGGGATCTCACCCCGGAACCGGAGTCGGAATGACCGTCCGGGGCTCCCAACTAAAGGGATAGGAGTTCAAAGAGAAAGTGCCCAAGTCGTTGTAGGACACCTTCTTTTCCTGGACTTGCGCCGAGGGTTGGTGACTCGTTTCAGCCCAAAGGAGGACAGGGACAGGTCCTCCTGCCTAAATTTGTGTCAAGAGGATGTGCAAAAGAGATTCCCATGTCACAGATCATTGCAGCGCTGCAATAGCTTATCTAGACCTCGGCACTATGTTGAACCTAGTACCCCTAAAGTTTACCTAAAGTAGAAGAGAATTGCCAAATGATTCTCATTGCACTTGTGGGGGCAGCGCCTCATCTGCGCACACAGATTTGGCTCATCTGCGCACACACATTTTGTTAGCACTTGCGCCTCATCTGCGCACACAGATTTGACTCATCTGCGCACACAGTCCATGGGGGAGACTCAAGTGCGCACACAGGCCCTTTCCCGGATGTTTGCTTAGTTAAAAGGGTCGTCAAGATGGAACGGCCACTTCCTCCTCTAAATTTTACCCTCGGGTGGCTCACCAAAGGGTGAGTCAACTTGGAATGACCACTTCCTTCTCTAAATTTTACCCCTGCCTGGCCCACAACAGGGTGAGTCAAGCTGAAATGGCAACATCCTTGTCTAAATGTTACCCTCGGGTGGCTCACCAAAGGGTGAGTCAAGTTGAAATGGCAACATCCTTCTCTAAATTTTACCCCTGCCTACCCACAAAAGGGTGAGTCAAGTTGAAATGGCAACATCCTTCTCTAAATTTTAACCCTGCATGGCCCACAAAAGGGTGAGTCAAGTTGAAATGGCAACATCCTTCTCTAAATTTTACCCTCGGGTGGCTCACCAAAGGGTGGGTCAACCTGGAAGAGCAACATCCTTCTCTAAGTTTTACCCCTGCCCACAAAAAGGTGAGTCAAGTTGAAATGGCAACATCCTTCTCTAAATTGTACCCCT